CAAAAGCTCCAACACAAATAATAAAAACTCCAATAACAATAATAATAACAATAACAAAAACAACAGCAACAGCATTAATAATAACAACAATAATAGTAACAACAACAATAATAATAACAATAACAACAATAACAACAACAACAACAACAACAACAACAATAATAATAATAATAACACAAAAAACCGATCGCAACAAGCAGCAAGACCACAAACGATCAATTACAACAACAATCCTTCAAATGATAGATCCTCATATTTACCAAAGCAAAATCGAATGATTAATACTTTACCTGGAGGTCCAGGTGCGGTTATACGACCAATGTTACATCCGGGTACTTTTGGTACTCCATATTTTGGTCCACCGCCATATGATATGAATATAGTTGGCTTACCACAACCAACGATGATATCACCTGACATGACAATGGGTCCTCCAATGCCAAATCTTTATATGAATATTCCTTCACATGAATGGGGAGGACCTGCAATAGGCGGACATTTTATTCGTCCAGGAGCAAGAAATCCGTGGGGCACCGAAGCCTTTAATAATTCAACAGATCAGACAAATAATGCTTCTAATTTCAATCATTCTTCACAAAATAATAATGGTGGATTTGTGCATACACGTCCTGCAGTTCAAGATGAAAATAATTTTTCAGCAGCGCAGAATTCGATGAAAAACTTTAATCAATATGCATCGACAAATTACCCACCGCCGCCTCCAGCTGGTCCTCCTTTCAATGAGAAAAATCAATTCGGAAATTCATCAAAGGAAGGAAATTCAAACAAGTCACAAATACTGGATTCCAGGAGTCCTTCCACGGTGCCACCTCAACATTCATTCGAGAAAGGATCCCAATCTAATCCATCCTGGATGCATAAAAACGGTCAATGGGGTCAAGCTAATGGCACAGATTGCTTCAATGAAAATAAGCCAAATGACCTGCAACAAAATCACAAAAGAGTAAACAACAGAAATCCACCGTTTTTGCCGCAATCACAACATGAAAATCCGGTGTGTAATACGAAATCTTTATTTTCATAAATATGTTATTCATATGTTAATATTAATCTTCACTTTCACCTTCTAGTTCCCATTTAATTCACTATGGACTAATAATTC